AAGTTTGGTATTCAAAGGTTTAACTCCAGGTCATGCTTCGCAAACTGCAAGCCGACTACAGGTAAACAAAATTCGACAAAATGTTTTAGAATAATTTTAATTAAAAAAGCTCCGGCTTAACAACAACTCTCATATCATGCTCCTTGGACAATGAATCGCTTGCAAACATGAATTGACGTACAGCAATAATTTCTGACACTGTGCAAACAGCAAAAGACCAACGACTGCCAGTGGGTTTTCCAGAGGACAAAAGGTTTGAATTTGATCACGTGCATACATGACGAGGCTATGTCACTGTAATTTTGTAAGGGCAGCAGATATTGTCAGCAGTCTCTTAAACGGATACAGTTTTGAATCTTATCTGTCACGCATAAGTTATAGTATCGGCTAAAACTCGTCAACACCAGTATTTTTAATTTATTGGTCCCTGGTTGTGGATGGCAGCTGATGATCAAACAACTGAGCGGCTGCGAGCAGAGGTTCCCTCTCGTCTCAGTTTTACTGTGAAGAAAGAGAAGGGAAACGCAATCCCGCAGGGCAAGACGGTTATTTACGTTTCGGCTTCAATTTGTTCCAAATTTATCGGGGATCACAACATGACCATTTTCGCCTGGAAAAGATAAATTTGCACTAAAGAACTTTGTCGCTGAAAAGCAGGTGGTTTTGCAGACTTAAATGCGATTTAAGAAGCTATGCATTAAAAATTTAAATAAATATGACAGAAGCGTTTTGTTTTTCTGATATGATATTGTCCGGGTAATAATTTTTGTCTGGCTACGGCCCTGTTCGAACTATTGTTAATTAAAACTGGTATTTTCCTTTGCAGTCAAGTGACTGGTGTTTTAAGAAAAAATTTTCCAGAGGAGAACTTTTTGTTGAAACGGTTAGTGACAGGTTTTTATGAACGTCTTTGTCCTCTATGAACATTTCCATCTTGTTAATACAACCGTTCTTTTATCTAAACATTATTTATCAGTCCGATAATCTAAGAGGATAATTGCTCCCTTTAAACTGCTGATATACCCCAGGCATGAGTTGGGTTTCTTTGCTGGATGGGTTTCAAGCAAGAAGGTTGTGATTAAGCTTTCCTTGCCTAGTTCCTAGCAGGCCTCAATATTTCGCCGTGGTCAATCACTTTTGGGTCACGTGGTCAGGGGCGAAAAGTGTGACCCGGGCCGTTCGTCTCGGATACATCACCGAAATCAATTGACCGTGAAGGCCTAGAAAAAAGCCGCAAAGGAACTACGCAAAAACTTTCCTACAAGTCGAGCTACGATAGCCGAGCTCGGAGCGAGAACATGTCTGCGATGCTCGAGAGCGCGAGGTAAAGAAGCGCGGGACCACCTACTCAAATCGTAAAGAACTTTCTGAAATAAATCTAGATTGTGACTAATCAGAAGGTTCTTAAAGAGGATGTGAACGTAAATTTTGGAATTAATCTAGCCAGGAGCCCATAACTAGGAGCGTGCAACTCCCACACTAAGGCTATGTCACGGAATATTTTACAGACCGGTCTATTTTTAGACTTTTTTCCCCGCGAAATAGGTCAGTTCCGGTCTACATGAGCGCGAATCGGTAAGGAAAAAAATGGCCGCCCTCACATCAGGAGCCCATCACTTCTTCCGGTGAAAATTAAGTCCGTGCTTGTAATTGGTCACTGAGGTTTCTGCGGGGTCTGAATTCTCGGTAAATTCAAACTAAAAATATATCAGTCTGTGAAAACGCCGTGACAGGAGTATGGGGTAGTTGAACGCTCCTAGTGATGGGCTCCTGATCTAGCTAATGGTTCGCGCAGGTTGCCTTTTCAAGTCCCTTTGACGCGCTGTGCTTAGATGAAATACAAAGGAGGCATTCACACAGTAACTAGTCAAAATTCAGTCGTAGATGTGCTAAAATAAAATCGATGATGTGATCTTTGAATCGCTGTTAACTGAATGCCGTATGCCTTGTGAAAAAAAAAGTCTGACAAAAATAATTCTGACTTCTTTCCGCAGACAGACGAGTAATTACGTCGAACAGCAATACGAACAAAGGGCATAGCTTTGAGATGTTTTCTCTATCTGAGTGCATAGCATGGATGACTATAGACTTAACCGTGTCTGTCGCTATTGTAGCATGCAATCTCTGTACGATAGTTGTTTTTACAAAAAGCCGTAATCTCCGCAAGCGTAGTACGTACCTGCTGATAAATTTGGCATTTGTGGATATGTTGGTTGGAGGATTTTCTGTGAATGCTCTGTTCTATTTGGTTGGAGCACGCTGTAATGTGTGGAAGAGACATTCAATTGATGTTTGGGCCAATCATACACTATTTACACTCTTACTTTTTTTCTGCAATGCGTCATTAACAAACATTGCCATTATTGCTTTAGAACGGGCACACGCGACGTTATTTCCATTTCGACATCGCGTGCTAAAGAAATGGGTGTATGGAATAATAATTGCCATTGTTTGGGTCACAGCAGCGTTGGTATCAATTACTTATGTTCTTCTTAAACGATTTGAAATAATTTTTCTTTACCTAAGAATTACATTTTGCTCGATTTGTCTTTTGATCATTTGTGTTTCCTACACGTCCATTGTCGTTAAAGCCCGTTGTGGAGCGAAGCTTCACCACCATGGTGCAGCCAGTAGAGAAAGAAAACTGACCATGACATTGTTGATTGTGACTGTTGTATCTCTTCTGTTTTACCTGCCATACGTTATATCAGCCTTTATTGTTTCTAGCTTTGCATCTGAATTGTGGCGTTCACTGCCCGATTCAGTAGATCATGCCATATATGTTTTATTTTATGCAAACTCACTTGTAAATCCTATATTATATGCTATCCGTCTGCCAGAATACAGATCAGCTGTACTTGTTCTCTTTCGCAAACGACCTCGGCGACAAAGACAAGTTGGAGATTTGCCTCTCCGGGACGTGTAATGCCAACGCTTTGTTATTTTGAAATATTGATTAACTGAAATCTTTAAGTGTCTATACGGCCAACACAGTTTTTTTGCTGGTTTTGTATCTCTATAATGTGTAAAAAGGTATTCTAAGAAAAAATATTGGATTCCGACATTTTAACGCCCAAAGATCTAATTTCAAAGTTCCCGCTTCAGCCACGCCCAGTGAGGTTGACCGTGAGTCAATGTAAAAAAAGAGTCTAGGTTTCTGAATGGGTCGTGGCGACAAGTCAGGAATTGCCAAATCCTGCTAGTTCAGGTCACTGTTGTTTAAGTAGTGGTTAGGACTGAGTTTCGGTCGACAAAAAGCAAACAAACCGAAGTTGGTGAAACAATGCGGTCGTCAACCAAACAAAATAAAAACATGAACCTTTGAGATGTTCCTGAAGTGACGTCATTCGCCACCAATCTTTCATTACGCGGTCAACTTCATTGGGCGTGGTCGAAGCGGGAAATTTAAAGCTTGATTTCATGGCAAAAAAGCACCAGAATTAATTTTTTTGTTTTAAATACATTTTTACAAAACCACAAATACCCTTTTGGCCGTATGGACACTTTAAATGATAGTATTATGAGGCAAAGAAATCATTAACTTCGTAAGAAAGTTTGACTTAAAACAAAGAAACATCGTTTTCATTTTAAGGAAAGTTAACAAGACGCTGCTGTTTAAGCTCAAACGTATATATAACAGGTGTTGGATTGTCTATACCCCGAGTGTCAGCGGATGACTCGGTTGAGAACTGTTTGGTTGAATTCGTGAGCATCTCATTATTGACAACCTTGTCAATTTTAAGAGATTCAGTTTATATTGAACGTGAGCTGAACAAAAAGCTTGCAATTATTAGCTAGTGTTCAATCTCCATTCAGAAATAGAACACTTCAGCCTTATGCCCAGTGGGGTTTTCCTCTCAAGTTGAGAAACAAAGGTCCCAAAAAAAACAGTACTGAAAGAACTGCCACAAAGCCGCAAAATCGAGCACAAATCCTTTTCGCTGTTGGCTTCGCCGACATTTTCTCCGTCATTTGTAATCGAAATTTTAAAATTTTTGCACATTAAAATGTCCATAAATTATCTTATTCGGTATAAATTATAAAAATCAAGAGACCAATAAAATGGCAGAATCCAGGACCTCTTTCCGTACATCTCACTTTCGCAGGCAAGCGCCCCAGGTTGAATGGAGTTGTAAAGCATTTTTAATGTACATTATTAAAACTTCATAGCTATTTAAAAGTATACTTATTGCTATATTACATCTTTGATTTTGTTTATCGCTGTAAATAATGAAACAAATAAAGATTTACTGATGTTACACTTTTCTGTGTGTGTGTGATGTTTATCTAACAACATTGGTTCACAACTTCATTTCGCCCAGTTTTAACTAAAATTTTCATGTGCAACTTAATCCAACAGCAGCATAAACTTAGCATTACCAAGTTAAGTGCTCAAGAAGTTGAGCATGAATTGAATAAATACTTAACAATGGAGTTATGCATTGGCGTGCATCATCTTGTTTCTATTTAACAATTAGATTATGAGCTCGAGACTTCTATCGCTTGATAGTTGACGAGGACGCAGCCCGGGTCAACTACCACGCATAGAAATCAAGAGCGAATAATCTGTTATAAACCTACTAGTCGTTCAAAACTTTATGGTAATTTATGACGTCAGTATGGAGTCTACAGAAGAAGATTTCTCGTTGGGAACTGTACATATTCATCTGGAATGTGATTCATAAACGATTAGATGCACTTCTATATATCACGCGACGTTGTATTTTAAAAACGCCCTACCGCGCATCAAGCTTTGCAAAAATAAACATGGCGGCGCGCGGGAAACTCGAAATGCTAAAATAGAAGGAACGAAACGCAAGCATTCAAAACGGGCAATCAATTATTATCGCCTTCAGATCGCTGAAACAATTTAACACGAACACCAACCTGTAATTTTGAACTAACTGTTTCCAGCGAAGATTTTCTTTAAGAGGTAGTGTTCGTCTGTTTATTTATTTTGCTTTCGTAAAGAAAACAACAGGCGCATTCGAGTTACATACCTGTTAACCTGTCCACTGAAGACCAGATTCGGAGCAGTTCCCGTCAGTGTAGCTGTGCCGCCAATATTTGCAGCGTACGCAACAGCTAACATCATAGCCTTGCACAATCTGTTGTAGTACATAGTTTCTGCTGCCTGCAGATTCAAAACAAAACAAAATCTGGGAAAGTGGATTTATAAGGTACTCCTACAGATACATAAACAACGACAACTGCTAAGGAAAGAAATGACGGTAAATATATATTAAGCTTGCTAATCTTTTTTTTTAATTATGGAGCTTAGCTTCCACTAGCTTTCACGAGATCTATTATTGCTACTGCTTATTGTCCAGTTACTTTATTAGACAGTCCAATTGTTATATGATTACCAAGTTGCGATTCTTTCTTGTAGCTGTTTAAGCAACCTCTAGAGTCTTTACAATTACACACGGTGACCCCCATAGTTTATCCACAATATATCTCGATTTGAAGAAAAGTTTAAAATTCTGTTTAAAAATGTTTTAATTTTAATGCTTTAAAGAACACGTCTTTAAGGGTATGTGCGCACGCAGAGAAGTCTTAAGTTTGTAATATAATCGTAACTCCTGTTTAACTAACATGGTTTAAAATGTAATTTCAGGGTCTATTTTGTTTAACTTAGTCTAATAAATTAATCCAATAAGTGCTTTTCCTAGAATTTCTAGTGCCCCTTTCTGCTAATTAAGGTTAAGTAATGACAAACTCGTCGGTCGCAAAGTTGTTATAAAAGCCATCCATGTTGTGCACAAAATGGGCACGGTGACCCCTATCTTTTTTACATTTTTCTAATATACATAACATGATAACCAACTGGATGAAATTTGAGACATTTTTAAATACTCTTTCTTTTTAAGAGGAATCACCTTAAGATTTAATCCTATGTATTATTTTTGTGGCGCGTACATTGTATCGTATCGATCTTGTCAAAAGCGTTTTCCCACATGAACCCCATATTAATTGGTGATTCGCGTCGGCCTCTCCACAAATACACGGATATTTTTTGGGGTATTTAGAAGTTTCCGAGATATTTAGGAGATAAAAGTAAATATATGAAAGAACGTATACACCTGATTGAATAAACGTTGTCGGATGAAAAGAATAAACCATGAACGACATGACTTCATGAAATTATGGAAAGACTGAGGAAGCGTGTACATATAATCGTGAATATTCAAACACTAAGGCCGCAATTTTCCTGGTCTCCTCCGCAGCCGTTATTAGGGTCGTCACGCAACGCTTCTCCCCCACTAACGGCTGCTTAAATCCGAACCCCATTTGTTTCCCTTTGTTTAGAGTTCACGTGAAAATTAC